AAAGAAACAACCACCACGTGATCACATACGCTTGTCTCTCACTGCAACAATATGACAGAAATAAGGATGTTTTCCACTCTGTATACAATGGACATGTGAGAGATTTCGTCAGTAAACACAATTCACTGTACGAACCTTCTACTTTTGCTTGTTGATCCTTTAAACCAATTTATTTGAAAGAGGATACTGGTATATCCATTAAAGTATCGAACACGCTACCGTAAATCAACATGGATTTGAAGGGAAGAGATTGCCGTCTTCAAGGAAAACATTCTGTTTTGTTTCGCCCAAATGGGTTTCTAACATTGTCGCCGATTCCCCCTTAATATTAAATATATTTTCCGCTGAATTGTTCTAGCAATTGGATGACTATTAAGGGGGTATTATGTCATATTTCGAACCCCTGTCATTCGTTATGTCAGGATTTAAACATTTCGCTGGCCTTGCTGCTATTAAAAACACTATTCAATTCATATCCAATCTTATAGTATACACCCACTAGGGGAGGGGGCTATGTGAGTCAAATGAAACGTGTTCGAAAATTACCGTATTTGATAGTATTCGCGCTATTATTACCGGTAATACTTATGTTCGTCCCGTGGGGTGGGGTGCTTTTTTACGGCTAGTTTAATTAACGGGGGGCATTTCAATAGAAAATAGTATGACACGTGTACCAACATTCAGTTACATGATAATCTACATTTAGAAAACAATTTCAAAGTTAATAAGTTATAAGAAAAAAATAACTCTACTCAAAAAACACTGTAAACATAAAACAAGAAAGACAAATACTAAAATCTGTATGGTTCTTTTTTAATCGTGGATTCAGTACGTTGCTCGTGTCTTTTTATGGAGTTCAAGTCGTGTGAATTTGCGCAGTCCCAGTTTCATAATAATGTTCGCACGTTCGTTCCTCGTCCGTAAATGTATTACACTGTATTACCAAATGGAGTAATAATGTGAGCGATATCTTTTCAATTCTTACAATCGCTGTAGAAATTATAATTAAACAACCACCAAGTAGTTCTTCCCCATGGACGGACCACCAACACTGTGAGTTGGTCTGACATGCGTTGAATGAATCTTGCTCTGGAATCTTCCAGACGTCGTCGCAGCCGGTTATAATAGTCGCTTTGTAATATCTCAACAAAAACAAGCGCAGTATTCTGCAAGTAAAAGATTCACATCAGATATACGACTCCCGGAACGGAAGTCGTGTGTTTGCCCGTCATAAGTGATCAATAGATAGCCGTATATACGTATCTGACACTGAAATACAACATGTCAGAGTGAATCATATGTCAGAACGTGTGCTCCATTTAATGTGTTGTATAAACCAATACACCAAATGTACATGGAGGAAACAGTATAAACACGTGTATAAGCCCTAAAACGTTACACTTTTGAGGTAAGAACAACGCGTATAGTATGCACATATGTTGATTTGAAGCTTTCTGATGGTACGTTTCAATGAGTCGCTTGTCTTTTAATTATGCGATCAATAGTCATGTTTTTGTATTTTGAAAATACTTTTTATTCACTTTTTATGGAAGCATTTACTTTAATAATGTGTGCATCAACTACAATTTACAGAAAGTACTGCTATATATTATTATTATTATTATTATTATTATTATTATTATTATTATTATTAACTCAAGAGGATTCACATTATATTTTTGCCCATGATCAGTTCCAATTTATCACCAATTAATATTTAATTATTATTATAATAATAATAATAATTTATTATTCTTATCAACCAATAAGTTTATAAGGTATTATATCTATTCCATTCGTACAACATCATCATGTCCAGCTTTGAAGTTAAATGACGAGTCGTTAGTTATTACACGTAGAAATAGTGGCTTTTTAAAATGTAGGACTACCGCAGGAGATTCAGGATGGGAGCTATTATGGTTCTACAGAAAAAACCGTGAAGAGTCAAGTTGTCAGTCGAGTAAGAACGCAACAATGATTTTCAGTGTCAGTAATGAAAACAGATCTTTTCAATCAGACTCGAGTGGAGTCGGGTTTGTATGTTGGTTTGATGTTATCGCTGTAATTTGTATGAACGTGTTTTCAGTTCCCTTTGAAGAAAGCTACCCATCCGTTAAATCACATGTATGAGAAAATACCGACAAGGTAACCCAGACAACAACTGAGCAAGTCCACCAAAGTTCGTTGCCACTGCTGATCAAATATTAATCAATCGAACGCCTTTCACATCGTCATGTTCTTTCTAATCCTAATTTGTGGCAACAAGCAAGGTTGATTCCCACACCGATGATGTCTTACTTGGTACGTTGGTTGGTTTGTGTCTGTAAAACATTGTCGGTTCTATCCGAAAATAACAATTGATGACAGAAAAGATATATTAGTAATATGTATGCAAGATTTCTGATAATTGGCGGCCTTATACTGACTCGGTTTCTCTCCATTGATAGCCTTTTAATTGACCGCAGTTTGTTTTCTTCCTAATAGCGTGGTCGAATGAAAACCGGAAACCACGAAACGTGTTTAGTACACCTGGACAAGGTACTAACACGAAATGCAATAAAATACAAATAATTTACATCCCAATTGACTTATGGGACTTTGTTGATCCCAATAATCACTCGATGGGTGCTGTCTGTTATAGCATGATTACATGCAACAAGGAAGATGTCGTTAACAATTTACAGACACAGGTGAATGGTCAGATCATTCTAGGTCCGATCCAAAGACTGTCATTTGAGAATCCTGCGTGTATATGCCAGGTGGAACGTTACCAACGACATTATAGTATTTAGCAGAGATGTGTACTGCGTGTATGTGACAGGTGAGACGTTACCAATGACATTAACGTAGTTAGCAGAGATGTGTACTGCGTTTATATGTCAGGTGGGACGTTACCAATGACATTAACGTAGTTAGCAGAGATTGACATGGTTTACCAAGCGTAACTGTGAAAGTAAACCAAGCAAAGGATCACGACTGCAACATATCAGCGTGTAGGTGACCCGGCTCCACGTGGCCCGCTCAACGCAAATGACAGCCAGCGTTGACCCTTGCCTCTCTGACGTTATCTACATACAACAACTATACGTTCGCAGCTAAATATCAATAACTGGTTAGTTTCGGATGTAACGCCATGCAGCGTAGTGCAATGTAACGTATACAGCTAATCTGGGAAAATGATACATGGCCCACAAGAGTCAACCATAAACCACGTTAAGTTACGGCGCTATTCAGCAACATTTCACGTTATATTCGCCCTCACGAGTTTCCCAAACATTATTTATTACCATTCTGCGTGCTAGTCTCTTAGACTGTGTACATACACATGGCAATTGTAGGTACGGATGTTTTTGATAAAATTCAAGATTGTGTCAAGGGTTTGGCACAGTGGAAACCAGGTTGCATAGTTACGTTTTAACGGACTTGTGATTAACGCAATGTGAGCAGTAGATTGGATTACCACAGCATCCATCGTAGCATACAGAGCATCTCACTTTTCCCAAAACACCGTCGCTAACAACGGACGCTCATTAGGCATGTTGACGAGTGACTCGGTAGTCCTAACTGACGCCGTATTTTTAAAACACTTTTAAACACTGAATGATCTCATCTTGAATTCTCATTTACCGAATCGCACTGGTAGCCAGCTACATCCGCTATTATAAAAATGCAAGTTGTGTACGAAATTGGACCAGAAAATACAAATAATCCATCAACATTTTGTAGGTGTTTTAGGCTAGCAAATGAATTTTGTCATATAAAATATGAAATCGTTTATGCAAGCAATTTAACCTAATTCATTATCGGACGGTGCCTAATTTAAACGCGATAAGGCAATCGAGTGCACATGCACATTATCAGAAATTATCAGTAATGTCTTGGACGAGGTTGTATGAGGTAATGTTTCACTTCTAGCGATAATTTTATAAAACTTTATCTGTGATGTGTATCTCCTTTCTTTAAACAAGATGGCCTGAACACTTGAACCACGTTAGTTATCATCTTACACTCAATACTTTAACCGGATTTCTTTCCAGCCACAGGGCGAGTCAGCCGTGTCAAAGAAACTGCCAATCTTTCAAATAACCACACACAAACGCATCTCGATGCAACCATACAGAGTGCCAAGGAAAGTTGCCCATGCCGAACGTCTTGAACGACCACATGAAAGAAATTATCAGAACATTCCTTAAATTGATGTCACGGTTTTATAATAAGTGTCTTCGGTCTTTTCGATATCAGTTGTCATCCGATATATCATATACTTTGTTGATTTCACGTCCTCGAGGCAGACCAAGGGGTGTACACCAGTTAGGTAATGAGGCGAATCTGTCGGACTTTTCAACATCAGCCACATCTTAAAGCATAATAAGCAGACAGCTTACACTCTGCTAGTCACGGATATGCACAGTATCCATTGTACAATACATTCAAAACATAAAGATAGTATTCTATGAAATGTTTGTCCTGTACTATTATTGAGTTGAAGCTACGAGTGTTGCGAGCTACTGTATCTATGTCTTCAATGCATAAGAATTCAGTCCGGATTTAAGCAGTGAAGCAGGGGTAATGGTATCAGTTATGCAAGTCAAATCGATGAACAAAGAGGGTAATTAATATACAACAGCTAATTAGTGTATCGAAAACAGTTTGGTTGCTACTTCAGGCGAGAACAGTGTGTTGTTTTTTCTGTCCGTCAAACAGGAGTTTGGAACCGTTCCATTTGATCTCACTAACAAGAATACAATGGATAAACAATAGGTGATACAAATGTCAATACGTCCAATAGCTCCCTAAGTAATCCAGGCAAGCCATAACAAGCAGCTTCCTGAAAGAGGCTGGGCCTCAGCAGAATGTCCAAACAAAAATGGTCCAATCATATGTCTTTATGAGTGACACCTGTTGAGAGAGATCCGTCCCCTTGACTTATTCATTGGGGCGGGACTTAAGATCGAAGTGGAAAGAAAGTGGTCCAGATTTACTAAAGTCTACTGATGAATCACGTCGGGGCCAACTCTATACTATATTATATAGTGATTGTGTAGTAATCGTCTACGTATGCGTGACTCCCCACACTGGGAAGGTCATACCAATACCCACCAATCAATATGGTAGCAGTTATCCAGCGTTCTTGTTTAAAAGGACCGATTCAAGTATTGATATTGGTTTTCTTACTCACGGGGAAGTCCTTCGCCTCATGGTTGTAAGTAATCCTGTATATGTGGCACACATTTTACTACTTTACTTCATTATGAACTGCCAGGGTTTACGTTAAGTGTTGTTTTTTCTTCATGGTTAGTCTGCTGTGTGAAAAGCAACTCTTGTTTAGTACTGAACTGTATTTAATCGACGTGTAATGTCATTAATTATCCAGGTGGTTAGGCGTAGCCTCTGTTGGGACCGTTTCTTCCCCTCAAGAGGCAGAAGAAATGGTATGTAGTGTGGTTCCTGGTCTGGTGACCGCGCAAAAAACGGTATGCATAAAAAAACCTCAGACAATCGTCAGTGTGAGCGAAGGAGCTCGCCTTGGAATAACCGAATGCCAAAAACAATTCCAAAGAGAGCGATGGAACTGTTCAACCACGGATGATGATAGTGTATTTGGGAAAATCTTAGAGCAAGGTGAGTTTATGATATATTATTATGGACAGTGCCTTTCAGATTGTTAGGTTGGCCTGTGGTTCTAGAAGACCTTGTGAATACAATGTTTACAGCCGTAACGTTTTAATGCAGTCTCGACAACGGTGAAGAGAGTAATTGGCTGTTTACAGTATTTTGAGTTAATCTATAACGACGGTGTGGCCCGCAGATGAGGCAGAACCATATACACCGGTCGTTCTTGTCCACGCAGTTTGGTGGGTTTGGCGGAATGTGTAATAAGATTAATATATCCGGATTTTTGAAGTTTAATTCCGAGACACTAGAATGTTGGCTTTATTTGCACCACAAAATAAAGACCATTCATATATGCATAGCTTCTTGAGATGTTAGGGGAGCGTGTCTGTATAAATCAAGAGCGTGAAGCCAACTCAAACAAACACATCAGTTTGCTACTCTGCTGAAGTGACGGCAATGTATGAAGAATTATTCCCATACATTACAGGGAAGCCAGTGAACCACAACCAACGAAACAAAACTAAAGAATAACCCTTAAATCGCACCTCCCATTCTCACACATAGTGTATTCTACACAGGTAACCGAGAGACGGCGTTTATATATTCGGTGACAACTGCTGGTGTTGTGTACGCTGTGACCAGGGCATGCAGTGCCGGTAACTTGACTGATTGTACATGTGATAGGGAACACGGAGAGACACATGAAGAGGGTTGGAACTGGAGAGGGTGCAGCGACAACATTCATTATGCTATTGGATTTAGTAAGACTTTTGTCGATGCTCCTGACAAGGCTTTTAAAGGAGATTTGCTTCGTAGTCTGATGAACTTGCATAATAACGAAGTTGGACGTAAGGTAAGAATAACATCAAATGTCATATGTTGAGAAATCCTGAACAACATAACCCTGTCGTTCACATATTCCATGCGAGGGTACCGATTTCGAATATTGTGTGTTATACACTAGCGTAAACTGCGTATATTCGGCATAATGACCTTGTATCGTACCGTGCGTTCTAGTCCTTTGACACATTTATCTTGTTTGCTCTGGTGGTGTGATTTAACGTTTCCCAGTGGCCTTCGATTTTTTTTAGAACAGCCCTCGATTTTACGTCAGTGAAAAGGGGTTAACTGAAATGAAACACGTTACCAAGCAGTTTTGAGCCCCCTCCTAAATCAGACATGTACGGGATATAAAACAAAAATTACTCATGATTAGTATTTTCACGAACATTAAAATGCCAGTTTTCATTAAATATATTTAGTGGATTTGCTGGTACCTCCATCATATGCCAAAAGTTCAGTTAAATCCAAATAGAACAAAATTAATTCACTAATAATCGGAAACTATCATTGCAAATAAAGAGAGCAAATATTATATTTCCGATAGTCGATTGCCTTATTGTGATTGTTACAATGATAAGTGCCCCAATGTAGTTAGTGGGGTAGAGTCTTTATCGCTATCGTGTCTCATATTTGAAGTTTTGATGAAAAGTACAATAAAGTAATAAATTCTGAAAACATAAAAAAGTAACTAACACTTGTGTTTGTGTGTTACATTAATCATATTACAATTAATTAAGTGCAACATATGTAGAGGGACCCCTACATGTCCGATATCGGCTAGAATAACATTTATTGGTAATTCGAAAACTGTCGACGTTACTTTTAGAGGTCACCCGTATTGATGTCTGCTCGGCGTCCATTAACGTGTTAAGTAGGCGATAATGTGATCGGTAGGAAACCCACGAAAAAAGTCAACTGTTTACTAAGACAGGGAGTAGGAAACTTAAGTGGAGGATTTAGACATTATTGGAGATTTGTAGAATGCAGTGATATTGTGATATATGAAGCCTGTTTGTGTCGGTAAACGGAGAACGGGGAAGGTTGTATACAGTTGAATAACATGTGTATTACACGTTGTTTAATTAAATACAGCGATTAAATACGTACGCAAAACATTGCAGGTTATTGGCCTCTTTAAGTTAGTATCGTTTCTTGTTATAGACAGACCAGCTACACGGTGAGTGTACTTATTAATCTATGACAATATACCTTAGCAGTATTTAAAACTGCAATCGTATGGTTTCATAGCGGTATTTGGCGGTACACTATACAGTGAATTAATTATACACGGCAACACCAGATTAATGGCTTATTTGATGAAATTTATAGTATCAGTTTGTTTATTTTTGTAGAGATTTCTTTCGACTATTCCTTTTTATTGCACCCGAAAACATATTCCAACTACTGTGGCAACTTTAAATACAAATGTCGTAAAATAACAACTCTAAATTGTTAGCTTTTCTTTGCTAAGTTGACGGAGCAGAAGAGCTCCCCGGCACGCCATTACCTACTTGAAAAGTTTTTACTTTTACTTCGAACGAAAACAGCTATTGTGTTTGTAATGAAGATTGTGAGACAAGCGGAGAGTAGAGATCGTTGACAAAGCAAGGGACACAACGGTCACTGGGTGCCCCACTATCGCATTAATCAGCACTCACTTGCCCCTTTGTAAACAATTTGAATGCAACAGAATTGGACTGAATAGACCAAGGGCGTAATTTGCGAGACACATTTCAAGTCATGTTATTTCATTGAAGTTCACAAAACCAGCAGTTGCCATCCTTCACAAAAAAACCATCTAAATCTTAAACACATTTTCTGCGCGTTATCCAAGTTCTCTATAGAAACTGTGTTAGAGTTGGCTAATGACTGTAATTGAACGTAGCTTATACTGTTAGATGAAAGAGGTGCGTACATTGTCTCCGTAAACATATTTCAAATCATCGGAAACGCAAAGTAGGGATAATTACATGTGTAGCTACATCGTGTGTATACTGGTTTTCACTATCAAGAATTGTTAACACCAAGTGAAGCTGACATAATAGCATCCAACGACATGAAAGACGTGACGGCACACAGGTCAACAAGTCAGTATACATATACACGCTAAATAAATAACTCAGCCTCTTCATGATTTTTTTTATATTCTCCGCGTGCCCTTTCATGAGAATCGGAGTCAGACACGTATTCTTTTATGTGTTGTTAATGTAGGTTTTAAGACTTTCAACTTTTAAATCTAAGAAAAGATTCGGTTTCAGTTTATCTCAATTATATGCCGGACTTTCAAACATATATCACAACTTGATACGTGATTGCTGTTGTGGGTGGGTGTTTGTGTGTGTGTTATTTGGCATTTCTGTTCTTGAAAAAATCAAATAATAGTAATATGTTTTATCTTGAATAACTAATCCTATGCACTGAATATGTGAAGAAATGTTACAATTGGAAATGCATCTTTTCAAGTTTAAGCCTTAAATTCGATCCGTCAAAGGTTTCGGGACTTTTTTGGATTTACATTCAACGAGCATTCGTCAAAAATAATGGCCTCATTCTAACCTAATTTAAGCAAGTACTTGGTAACTTTAGACGAACTATAAAACGTTATACCCTTTTCAGCGGAGCGAATTGATTCAAAGTGGTGGAAAGGGGACACAATGTAACTTTTGATACATTCTCTGTATTGGGGAAACCACTTCTTTTGACATATTTCGCATTGGTATAATAACACTGCTGGAACGGGGTTAGAAAGTTGACATGAAGAACACACAAACAAACCAAACTATACGGTGTGCGGCAACTAATGGACAGCTGGCATGGTAAAAGAGACGCCATAAATCAAAATCACAAGACATCTGCCAATATATTGTCGTAAAGACGCCGTACAGGTACTCTGCCCATTGAGTGATGGTAGGCTTCGAGAGATGAGACGATACACTACACAGAGTGGGAAAGACCACTCCCCTAAAATTTGATCAAAAAATTAAGTCTCTACACAAATTAAATATGTCACCAATGTAGATAAAGTTCATGACGCTAAAACCAGAACGATTGAGCGCTTTTAAATTGGGGATTATGTCGAGCAAAAATAGTTGTGACACGTTTTGGTAATCGATGTATTGTGGACAAATTTCAATTAAATAGGAACAATGTTGATAATAAAATACTGCCCAACTTTCAGTGACAGCCATTGTATCTCTGACGGAGATATTGGACCATAAAACACCCTCAACAATTGTCTTGATATCCATTCATGATTTATCTCAGATCCGTTCCCTTTCGATTCAACAATCATCATCCTTCATCAAACTGAAGACACCCGTACACTGCACTGACAGTAATTTAAAGACAACCATCAACACAAGAAAAGATGTGCATAGAATACGAGTTAGCAGTTTTTCTGAGCCGTGAAACGCAATTTTAAATTTTGAAAATTACAAGCAGAATATATACATGTAAATGTAAAGTGTGATTATAGCACATTATAACAAAATACGAACGATCTCAACAGTCACACAACAAGTGCACCAAACTAATGATGTGAACATACAGACCCGAACCGATCTCTGACACGCTAACACTGCTCATCAAATACGTGTTCACACATA